TGTCTTGGCTGTAGTTGGAGGAAGTAAAAACTTCTTCATTGCCAGTTTTTCTTAAGTTTTCTTTTTCGTGAGGCAGCAACTCCATGCCTTGCCTGGCTTCAGAGTTGTACAGAGCACATCACCAGGTAACAAATGGGGCGTTAAGTCCATGGTGGTCTATGGCATTGCGAATACATCTTTTAAGTTTTCTGTGGGCCAAAATCTCAGTGACTCAGATTTTAATTCAATGACGAGGACTGGAATTGGAAGACTGGTTCTAACAGGTGAACTTACAGAGGCTGTGTTTTCAACCATACTTGGTCATTCTGTAAGCCCCCTAAGTTTGTACTATTCTTACCTCTTTTTTAAAGTAAGGCACTTCCTATATGAAGCTTTACTTGGCTTGTTTTAATTATTCTGTGTGCGACCATTTCTTGAAAATTGCAAGGAAAACTGGCATGATTTCAGGTTGGTGCTCCTTTTCTTCCGTTTCCTCTAGTTAAGTATGACAAGAGGGGTATCTTTTCAAATAATTATTTTTAGAGGTTAAATACTTCCCAAACAAATATGTTAAAAGCACAGGTAGTCTGGAAGTTGATGTCTCTGTGCATGAATGATTTTCTCCCCTAAGGAAGCCATGCGTTGATTACTATGTTTCCTTTTGGGATGAAATTGTTTTGCCTCCTGTATGGAAAGTAAGACAGAGAGTCATGAATTGGGTCTGACTCTCCTCGTTTTTGTCTTTGTCAGTTGGTGGCCAGCGCATCATAGTTTAAGGGGAGAAATGGTGGCTTTTGGCCCGGAAAGGCAACTCGGAATTTTTCATACCCCATAAGAAGGACATGCTGGTCCTTTCTGTGCCTCATCAGCAAGTTGGGTGGGACAACCATAATTCCTAACAAGCAAGTGCTTTTTCACTCCTTAGAAAGTTTGTGTGGCAAGGAATGCACAGCTTACATCCTATCAGGCCGTGGTAGGGGTTGGACCCACCATCCCAGTGTCACTATTCCATCTGCCTGGCTTTAGAGAGTATGTAATCTGTAGCGCATGCACTCACGTGGGTCCTTGCCACATTTCTATCCCCTTCCAAGTGCCAGGAGCCCAGCATGTTGCCTGTGGAAGATTCGTTGAGATTTAACACATATTTTTGTATGACTTGGCTGCCAAAAATGAGAAAATTGCTTTAACCAGCAAAGTAAAAAAAAAAATACCACCCAATGTTTCGCACAGTATGGATCCAAATATCAATGTTTCCATGGACAGTTGAATTTAAATGCTGAGCTATTTAATTATAATATTAAAAATAATATAACCACCTGGCAATCTTAGAAAATGGGAGAATGGTCCATGATTCCATTACCTAAATAAAACAGTCATTTTCTTCTAGTCTTCTTTTCTAGTACCTGTTTTTTTCCATAGCTCTATCATGGCGTAATACATATTCTATCTTATTTTTCTTCTGATCAGCATTCTCAAGAACTTTCTACATTGGTTCACAGCTATCATTCATAATGTCTCCTAGTACCCAGTAGAGTAGCTATGCCATTGTTTACTTGACCATGCCCTGTTGTAAGAGACCGAGATTGTTTCCAATTCATTTTGTCATTATTATAAAACCCACTACAGGTAGTAACCCGTCAAGTTGTTTGGCTTTTTGTTGCCTATATAACCAAAGGTTCCAGGCACTGTTTAAACTAAGGCTTGTCTCTGAAGTACGTGTATTTCCAATTGACTACTGTGATGTCACAGTTGCCTTAAAGTGACCAGTAATTGATTTTTTAAATAATGTTTCCTAGACTGTGACATCTCTCCTAGAATTTAAGTTAAACTTTAGAAAAGTCTTCAAAGCAGAAAACCACAGTACTTTCTCTCTTGGTATTCGTACAACCTCATTTACTTAGGCCTACAATGTATGCTGGTGACAGAACTGAAATAGAAATTGATTTTGAGACTCTGGCCCTTCTGAAGTAGTTCAGAGAGAAGCAGCTTGAGGAAACCTCACACTGTCTGTGGCCTGTAGTCAACCCTCATCCAGCATGCTGATGGAGCACTTGCACAACTGTTTGCACGTCTAGAGAAATTGTATGGAGACCTCGGTGCCATGTCTTGATAGAGATTGACATTTTAATGTCCGGGGTCAAGCTTGGAGGGGGCTGTCGGCCTAGTTAACCTAACTCTTAGGAGCAATCCCTACATCACCCAGGGAAACACAATGGGATTGTAACCGGGTGTTAATAGGATCTGTTACAAGAATGGCACAGCTTTATCTTCAGGGAACGAGCTAGTGAGCTGCAGGTGGCTAATGTCCACTTCTAAACAGATCATATCGAATAAACATGCAGGCTGTCCAGGATAGAAGGGAGATGAGCCCCAAAAGTTTTTTACACCAGCAGGTGCAGTATTTCATATTGGTGTGTTACTGCGGAGAAAGAGGAACAAGGGAGATCATGCTGATTTTATTTTTTAAAACACTTCATAGGACTCCTTAGCTTGAGCTCACAAAGGAAGCTTTAGAATTCCAGAGCAGTTTGAGAGTTTGGAAAAAAAAAAAAAGGTGATAAAAGTTCCCTGCTCCATGCGGGGGGGAAAGAATAGTGGCTTCTGAAACCAGAATTCTCACCTCTGCAACCTCGTCACAATTCACCATGCATTCCACATTGAAGGGAGAGGGTGGACTCTTGTCGGACGAGGAAGCTAACGCCTCACTGGGCTACCCTGTGTTTGCCTTTCGCTTCCCAGTGAGTGAGATGAGTTGGGTGGTCGTAGCCTCTGCGTTCATCCACTCACGTGGCCCTGCAGCGGCCCAGTGGACAACCTTTCTAAAGGGGGTTAGTGGCAGACGGAGAGCATTTACAACAGAGTGCATGGTCCTATAAGAGAGAGTGTTGTTTTCAGGTCAGGCAGACTAACAAAAAGACGGGGTGTTTGGGTGTTTGGAATGGCATCTCTATCTTGGTTTGCCTCCAGTGGGAGAAGGAGCAGATAGCAGCTCTTTCCTAACTCAGCACAGAGACTATCCAGTGCCTACAGGTTGGAGATAGAAATGGGGAAGGGATGGCTATACCAAATAAGCATCTGAAATACCACCTCATGCCTCCACTCACCCCCTCTGTAGAGTGCATTTGAACTGTTAATATGGAGAGGATAACCAGTAAGCAAAAATGAAAAATGATGGAGAATAAGGAACCTTTTGGGACTGGGGGGTACTTAAGGCCCTGCACCATCAGTTAAGGACTCCTGTTGTGGGAGTGTTCAGATAGGAGCCCATCACACTGTGAGGTTGGAAACCTGTGACACGGGGTTCCTTGAGGGGCTGGGAGACGGGAAGTGGGCCGTGGGGGAACTGGTCTAGAATGTTACAGCACCTAGTTAATCGGCAGCCAGTCCATCACATTAAATATCCAGCCGTCATGTATTACCTTTCAAGTGAAAATGAATAACTCCCATTAAGAGCAAAATGGGTTTGAAGTCGATTCGAGACAGATTAAAGTACTGTTATGAATGTGTGTGTTGAGAGGAGGAGGGGGCTGTGTGTAAAATGCTTGTCCTTGTACTTTTTAAATAATAGATGCCCTACAAACTTATGTAGACCAGGTTACCAAGATACTGGGGTTTAAAGGTCACAAGATGTGCATTCTGGGAAGAGCATCAACTTCCTGGAATATTTCCTGCATTTAGCAATTTTTTTTGAAAATTATTTGTGGCCTTATGATTTTAATGAATAAAATTGATTTTCTAAAATTGTTTATTAAAGCACACATCTATAATGACAGCATCTTGGTATCCATGTCAGAACAGATTTCAAAGTGGAGCCTAAAGTGGAAACATAAGCTAGGTAACCAGACCAGATGAGACAGGCAGCAGTTTTATGAAAGAGCAAAAATTAGGCTTTCTAAACCAGTGACCTCAATGCCGAGTCAGAATATTTTTCAATGAGGGGAACGGGTATATATTTCTCACTACCATTTTCAGGATTTTACTAATCATTTTTAGCAAATTATGAAAAAGGAAGTTATGTGTCCAAAACAAGTGAGAGAACCAACCCTTGAATACTGACCAGGTTTTGGAATGACCAAATCCAACCATGTTGGGATTTGTGTTTACAATGGAGAGCCCCCCCGCCTCCCACCTTATCCTGGTTAAACCCTTAACCCAGCAGTTTTCTCGTCAAAATCTTCCAGACCCTTCTCCATGCTTCAGAGAACCCCTTCTGCCCACACTGTATGCTACTTAAGTCTCATGTGACTCTCCTCATTATTTAGTGGGTTTTGTTGGCTTTTTTGTTTTGTTTTTTGTTTTTTGGTGGAATGGGGTGTGGTTTGGGCAAGCAGATAGAAGACTTTTCCCCCTTACTGCCCACTCTGAATAAACGCTTGAGCTTGGAGCATTGGCTAGATTTTAAGTTGGATTCATGCCCTACCTATTCCACTCTTCAATTACTTTTTCCCCAAAAGCAGGTTGCTAAACCCAAACTTGATTTTTCCCCCAAGTATTTGTGTGCAGATCCATGTGAACCTTTCTCAGGTCACATTTATTATGCCCCCTGTGACGTGCTGTGCTGTGATTCCAAGCAGTAAAGTTGGGAGCACATGGTTGATTACATCTGTGGAAGCAGAGTGTCTGGTTCTTGAGTTGACTGGTGGTTGGCAAAGCAACTGGTGAGACTCTCCCACCCATTCTCTGCCCTACTGCCCCCCATAGGCCAGCAGAGTGTCTCTTGACTGGGAGAAGTCCATACACTGAATTCAGCTTAATCCAGCCCCAAGCATTTTAGTCCATTTCTTTATCTTTTTTCTTAGCGTTCAGTTGTTGAAGTAGTGACAGAAATTCATGGGGGAAAAGGAACACTTGCTTCTTTTCCGGCGTGCTTGATAAGTCGGTCCGGATGCTCATCCTACTTGAATTTTGGTGTTTCAAGAAAATCCTGTGCTATAAATGAATGTTGATTTTCACCCAACACAAACCCTCTGGGAGCTGGCCTGGTCTGGCTGCTGTATCGCATCTTCTGCTTTTTCTTCCAGCGTCGTCCAGCCAAGCAGAGAAGGAGCTGACAGATTCTCCCGCACCCTCCAAACGCATCTCCTTCACAGGTAGCTCGGAATCTCCTCTCTCTTCAAAGCGACCGAAAACATCAGAGGAGACCAAACCAGAGCAGGTGAGACCAGAAGGGGCTCTGCTGGTCCGGGCGGGAGGTGGGGGGAGTGTTTGAGACACCAGCGGGGGGAGCACAGTCTTGGGTGGGCGGGCTAGGGGCAGACACAGGCACCCGTGGGAACTGGAGATTCAGCCGGAGGGGTGGCTGTGTTCCCCACAGATGTACCAGTGTCCCTACTGCAAGTACAGCAACGCCGACGTCAACCGGCTCCGGGTGCATGCCATGACGCAGCACTCCGTGCAGCCCATGCTGCGCTGTCCCCTGTGCCAGGACATGCTCAACAACAAGATCCACCTCCAGCTGCACCTCACCCACCTCCACAGCGTGGCGCCTGACTGCGTGGAGAAACTCATAATGACGGTAAGGCAGCCAGTTCAGACCCGTGGCGTCGCTTTCCCCAGAGGTCACAGGTGATGGACGAACACGCACAAGATTCGGTGCTGTTGGATGAGAAAGCCAGTGTAGAGCTGGACATGTCAGAAGTGATCCTAGTTCTGTGACCTTCGTTCTCCTGTACCCGCCTTCAGCTCGGCATGGCCATGGTGTGACTGTGGCCCAAAGCACTGAGTATGTTTGTGTTCCCCACCTTCCCCGATTGTCCCCCCTCCTGGTCTGATGCAGGGGTCTAGATTAACTCACCATCCACATGAAGAAATTGTTCTTCGGACTCTCCAAACCTTTAATAACTAGGTCATGATCTAGGTTGCGCTTAGTCTCTTTTCATCCTCACGACAGCCTTGTTTCAAAGAATAAGAGTTTGATGTGTCTACATTAACAGCAGAGGAAACCGAGACTCAGACAAGTTAGCTGACTTGATTCCACTTGTAAGCGGCAGAGTTGAAATTTGAGTCCGTATTTTCCAATGCTACAAATGTGACCCTGTAACGTGGGAGTTTCTCAAGTGGCTACTTTGATTCTCAGAACAGGAAAATGGCCCGTGGGAGAGCACGTGTTGATTCGTGGACAAGGGCTTTGCATTTTGAACATGATGTGGCTACACCTACAGGTTTTAAAAGTCTGGCTCGGAGTGACTTCTGTGACACGGCCCAAAGGTTTAGTGTAAAGATTTAAATCTAATTGTAATGTGAAAACTTTTCAAAATACTACAGATCATGCTAATATCTTGCTTTTTCTGTCTGTGGTGAGACAGCTGTGCAAGCCCTTTCCTGATCACTAGAGGAAAAACTACCCAAGAGAATTATTCTCACCTCTAACTTATTTCAGTAGTGGAATAAATTAATTTGATTGCCTTTTCGTCTGTTCCCAGAGAGGTATTCTTCCTAGAGAATTCCACATTATAACATGCAGGTCACAGGCATATAACCTCTAGGCGTTTCCCAGTCCATTTCGTTATACAAGATGAATGAATAGTGTTCTAAGTGATGTTTAGTCATGAGGAACTTTTAATGCATCAAGAGAACTTTAGCAGCCAATGGGAAACTTGAAGGTAACCTAGCATAAGTTTTATTTCAGAGATCTTTCAAGTATAAATTCACTTTCCGTGGGTATTTTCAGATAGACTGGTGAACATCGTGAAAAGATTGAGAGTGGAAACCTTCTTCTTTGGATGGGTGGGTTTCTATGTTATATAGGTATTGGCATTCTCACCAACCTTGGAAATAACAAGGGGAATTTCTCAGGCCTCATCACACTTCCCGCTGTTGGCCTGGAACCATAGGAACCTTGAAGGAACAGAAGGAGATGTGGGAAACATTTTCAATACTTAATGACATTTTTCTTTTGCTCAGCTGTTTGTTTTTCCTGTTTAATATAAATCTGGTCTAGGAAATATGAGCTATAGTGATCTGTATGACCGGTTTACATTAAACAGTAGGTTTCATTTATATATCACTAGGGACTAGAATATAAATTATATTTCAAATATCCATTGTTTATCATTTTTTATAGCAGCAAAAGTAGTGTGCATTTCACGCAGTTGAGTCAGGTGGTCATTAGGAACTTAATTTACCAACAGAGTCTTGAAAGACAAGGTGTTACTACTGTGTTTCTGGGGCACCGATCCCTAAGATATTTCTGGATGTTACTCAGTAACTAGCACCTTCTCAAGCAGTGATTCTCAGCCTTTTTGGAGACTCCAATAAAAGTGATTCCATAGCCTTACTGGGTTATCCTATGCACAGTAAAGCTGGACAACAACTGTTAAGACCACTGTTGAGGATTCTGCATATACAAAACTGTGTGTACAATGCCAGGGAGCATAAGAATACCTTAAAATTCATACATGGAACCAGGCTAATAAACCCTGTTCTAGAAGAATTCCTGACAACATAATTATGTAGGAGAAATGTGCTCCCTAAAGCTGTTGCACTTGGCATCTTGTACTGAAACTGCTATGTACCTCATCTTCCCACAGCAGACAACAGAGATGTTTTCTACAGAAATGGAGACATTTTTTAAAAGCATTTTAATTCCAGTATAGTTAACAGTGTTATATTAGTTTCAGGTGTATAATATAGTGATTCAACAATTCTATACGTTACTCAGTGCACCCCTGCCACCCCTCTGGTAACCATTAGTTTGGTCTCCATAGTTAAGAGTCTTTTTCTTGGTTTGCCTCCCTCTCTCTTTTTTCCCCCCTTTGTTCATCTGCTTTGTTTCTTAAATTCCACATATGAGTGAAATCATATGGTATTTGTCTTTCTCTGACTTATTTCACTTATCATTACACTCTCCAGATCCATCCATATTGTTGCAAATGGCAAGATTTCATTCTTTTTTGTGGCTGAATAATATTCCGTTGTGTATATCTGCCATACCACATCTTCTTTATCCATTCATCTATTGATGGACACTTGGGCTGCTTCCATAGTCTGGCTATTGTAAATAATGCTGCAATAAATAGAGGGGTGCATATATCCTTTCCAGTTAGTGTTTTTGTGTTCTTTGGGTAAACACCCAGTAGTGAGATTGTTGGATCATAGGGTAGTTGTATTTTTAACTTTTTGAAGAACCTCCGTACTATTTTCCACTTTGGCTGCACCAGTTTGCATTCCCACCAACAGTATAAGAGGGTTACCTTTTCTCCACATCCTCACTAACACTTGCTTTTTCTTGTGTTTTTGATTGTAGCCATTCTGACAAGTGTGAGGTGGTATTTCATTGTGGTTTGATTTGCATTTCCCTAATGATGAGTGATGTTGAGCATCTTTTCATGTGTCTGTTGGCCATCTATATGTCTTCTTTGGAGAAGTGTCTGTGTTCATGTCTTCTGCCCATTTTTTAATTGGTTTATTTTGGGGGGGGATGTTGAGTTGTTTTAAGTTCTTTATGTATTTTGGATACTAACCCTTTATTGGATATGTCTTTTGCAAATATCTTCTCCCATTCAGTAGGTTGTCTTTTGGTTTGTTGATTGTTCCTTTGCTATGTTAGAAGCTTTTTATTTTGATGTAATTCTAATAGTTTATTTTTTCTTTTATTTCCCTTGCCTCAGGAGACATATCTAGAAAAATGTTGCTACAGCCGATGTCAGAGAAATTACTGCTTTGCTCTCTTACAGGACTTTTTTAAAAAGATGTATTTATTTTAGAGAGAGAGAGAGCACGGTGGGGGGGGGAAGGGGCAGAGAGAGAGATGGAGAGAGAGAATCTCAGACTCCCCACTGAGCGCGGGGCTCAATCCCATGACCCTGAGATCATGACCCAAGCCGAAATCCAGAGTTGGACACTTAACCAGCTGAGTCACCTAGGTGCCCCTTCTATTATAGGCTTTTTATGGTTTCAGGTCTCACATTTAGGTCTTTAATCTATTTTGAATTTATTTTTGTGTATGATGTAAGGAAATGGTCCAGTTTCATTCTTTGCATATTGCTGTCCAGTTTTCCCAACACCATTTATTGAAGAGACTCTCTTTTTCCCATTGCATATTCTTTCCATTTTGTCGAAGATTAACTGACCATATAGTCAGGGGTTCATTTCTGGGTTTTCTGTTCTGTTCCATTGATCTGTATGTCTTTTTTTTTTTTGTGCCAGTACCATACTGTTTTGAGTACTACAGCTTTGTCATATAAACTTGAAGTCTGGAATTATGATACCTCCAGTACTTCTTTTTCAAGATTGCTTTGACAAGTCAGGGTTTTTTGTGATTCCATACAAATTTTAGGATTGTGTCTTCCAGTTTTGTGAAAAATTCTGTTGGTATTTTGATAGGGATTGCATTAAATGTGTAGATAGCTTCAAGTCGTGTAGGCATTTTAACAGTATTTGTTCTTACAGTCCACGAGCATGGAATGTCTTTTCATTCCTTTGTGTTGTCTTCAATTTCTTTCACTGGTGTTTTGGTTTTTTTTTTTAAGATTTTATTTATTTATTTATTTGTCAGAGAGAGAGAGCACAAGCAGGGGGACCAGCGGGCAGAGGGAGAAGCAGGCACCCTGCTGAGCAAGGAGCCCAGTGTAGGACTCAATCCCTGGACCCTGGGATCGTGACCTGAACCAAAGGCAGACGCTTAACTACCTGAGCCACCCAGGCGTCCATCAGTGTTTTATAGTTTTCTGAGTCCAGGTCTTTCACCTCTGTGGTTAAGTTTATTCCTAGGTACTTTATTATTTTTGGTGCAATTATAAGTGGGATTGTTTTCATAATTAGAAATGTAGACATAAAAATAATATATAAAAAATAAAGTGTGCACATTGTGGGAAATGTACTGATTATAAGAAGTCACTTTGCTAGCAACAGAGAAAGTTAATGGATTCAGAAACAAAGTTGAAAGTTATGAGAAAGGTAATCATATAAGGGTTTCACTCTTTACCTAAGGGTATATGTAAGGATGATTTGGTACTCTGTACATGAGAAGATGGAGTTACTGCATGGCTGTCAGTATTGAATTGATTTTTCAAGCTTTGAGCATGGTTTGCATTGAGATGATGTAACATTTCTACCTTGATCCTTTAGTTCAGTGGGAAAAGATGAGCAACCAGGGTTAGAGGGGAATTCGTGGCTATAGCTTAGGGTGAACCCAGAATCCTGTTCGAAGATTGGAGTTTGCCCTGATGAATCAAAACAGATGCCGCTGTTCTTCCTTTGGAAAGTTTGGTGTTAAAATGGAATTTTCAATTGTTTTACAAACTAAGTGATTATAGTAAACCTGTGGTTAAAATCATGCCCCTCGAGGGTATTTTACTGTAATTTTATTAGAGAATTGGCCATGGGAAACTATTGGTTGGGCTTTCTGACTGTATATCTGTTTGTTCCTGGTCAACTGGAGCAGAAAACTCGGAAGACAGCATGATGAGAAATGCCCCCAAATCAGAGCTCCATTTTTAAAAACACGTCATTAAGGAATGGCCAGTGTATGGTCATTCATCCTCTAAGAGGAGAAAGTTACATCGGCTTTGTCCC